AAAAAAAAAAAAAAAGAGAAAAAAAACAGGATTGGTGCGCTTGTGATCCGGTGCTGGGGTGGTGGAGACAGGATCTATAAGGCTTCCTGGCCAGCCAGTTTAGACTACTCGGCAAGTTCCAGGCCAGGGACAAATTCTCTCAAAGTAAGATTGTCTGTGTTTGAGTAACAGCACTAGAAGTTGACCTGACCTCCACAAGAATGTGAAGACATGTGTATACCAGCCCCCACATGTGTATACATATGGACATGTGTATACACACGTACTCACACACATGCACCTGCACAAGTGTGTATACACATAACATCATGTGTTTTAGCCTTTTAAATGTAACTGTGTTAGATTTTTCTGGAAGCATTAATATTTGCATTTAACTATTTGATATAGTTGGACTTTCTCTGGACTGCCAGCTCCAAATAGTAACACAGAGACTTCTTATTAATTATGAAATCTTGACCTTAGCTTAGGCTTGTTCCCAACTAGCTCTTAAAACTTAAATTAACCCATTTATATCAATCTATGTTCTTCTACGTGGCTCATTACTTCTGCTTAGTACCATGAGTTTCACTTCTTCTGTGTCTGGCTAGCAAATCCCACCTTTCTTCTTCCCAGAGTTCCTATCTCTTTCCAGAAGTCCCATCTATTCTCTCCTGCCTAGCTATTAGCTGTTTAGTTCTTTATTAAACCAATCAGAAGGTGTCTTGGCAGAGACACATCTTCACAGTATACAAAAAGATTATCACACAACAATTTGATGTTAATATAAAATTTTCTTAAAGGGAACATTGTTTAGTAAGCAAACTGTTTGAAATTTTACTCATTAGGACCAGACCAGGATTTATCATGCCTGGCTGCTGCTGCTTCATCTATCACTGTGTACAGGGTGGTCTGAGTGCCTGGCATTCCCCATCCCCCTTTTTGTTTCCTGAACATCCCCGACCTGTGCTTCCTTCATTTCTTAAGCTTCTACTCCTTGTTTTGGGTCCTAACTTCTGTACTGATCTGGGTGAGTATAACAGAATCCAGGATTCTGTTAAACTTCAGCCAAGGCACAAGAAAAAGGTATATTGAAGGAGCCAGAAAACTAACAGTGGCAGAAGAGTACCAGAGAATTAGGACTTGGAGCACGGTAATGTCACTTAAATAGACAGGTAACAAAGGCATCTCCGAGAAAGAATGCAGGGGTCTTGAGTACTTGCTCTGGGCACCTGTTGGCACTTTGTCTTAAGAGCCACATTTCCTTGTGCTCAGGTGAGCCCATGTTAAGAGGACACTGCATGGAAGTGGACCTGCACAGACGTTTTCTGAGGCTTTCGCTGTACCCTCCTCCGAGGCACATTGTTACCGTATCTAGTGCCTTTTGAGGGCACAGGTTTGACCTCTGATTAACCTTGCAGGGACTGTGTGGCAGACTTGAGGGTGACTTTTTTTCTTATGGTAAGCAGTGCTATGGCAATTTCAGTACTACAAGAAGCTACCCCTGGCTACAGGCCTCTCTGTTTGTGAGGAGCTGACTTGCTTGTGTCACAGTGCTCTTAACAGTTCCACCTGTGCAGAGGAAATCTAAACATTTCTGTAAGTGCAAAGGAACTACGGCAGCCGATGAGAACAGGCTTGAAGGTCCTGCTCCTCCTTTTTCTCTTCTTTCCCCTCTTTCTCTTTCTCTTTCTCTTTCTTTTTCATCTTCCTCTTCCTGTCTGAAGCTTTCCAGGTTGAATTAGGCCTAGTCAGGATTTTAAGCTGGGTTCTGGCTTTCTAAATAAGAGAAATCATTATTTTCATTATTTGAAGTCACTTTTTCATTTTTTTGTAGGTAAGAGAAAAGAGGAAATGAGCGGAAAGTAGAAAACTATATACTTTTAAAGAAAGTTGTCCTCATCCTAAATGAAATTTTAATAGACATGTTATCATTTAAAAAAAGAGTAGCAAACGACTATGTGATCAGGGACAACTTAACCCACAGTCCTTCTTCAGCCTCCTTGGCCTCCTTAGCAACTGTCTTGAGACCCACACATCATACATTTCACCAATTAACACGTACAGTTAGTTCATGGAACTTAGAGTGTTGGTTGAGTTTTATCATACTGAAAGGATACCTGAGACGAACATCTTGATGTAAGAAAAGTTAATTTTGGCTCAGTGATTGAGAGACTCTCTGTCTTTAGGCCAAGGCAAGGCAGGACATCATGGTGGACAAGGCACAATGAGCATAACTGCTCACCTCATGAAGTGGGAGAGGGGAAGGGAGAGAGGTTTGTTCATTATGGAATATGTATCAACATTTCAT